AATGGAAAAAAGGGGTTCGAGGACACTTGCAAGTACTCTGTGAACCCTCTGCTTCCTATCGCGGCGACCATTGTTCACGCAATCACCAGTAATGGAAAAAAGGGGTTGGAGGAAACTTGCAAGTACTCTGTGAACCCTCTGCTTCCTATCGCGGCGACCACTGTTCACGCACTCACCAGTAGTGGAAAGCAAGAGTGCTCGAGGTTCCTCGTAAGTCTTCGGTAAATCCTCTGCTTCCTATAAATATAAATTCACGATCTTTCTATCGTATTCTGTGTTGGAGGCACGTGCCTGTTAGGTAGACTTATCGACGAGATTACTAGCAGGCCTAGGACGGAAACGCACCCCTTCCTTCTCTTTATGTCTTTCTGTCACTCGCCCTTCGATCAACAGAGTCGTTTAGGGTTTTCGATTATAGCCAAGACGGTAAGGGAGGGTTACTTGTAGGGTACCCATTCTTAGATTTGGAATAGATGTCTTGCGTTCTTTTGTCATAAAGGGGTGGGTCCATGTTGCGGATGAAGGCAGCTGTATCACTTGTCTAGGGTTCCTGGTGTCAGAACCGCAGCGAGTTACAATTTTTTAATTGTAATACAGTCGTTTAGACAATGATAGGTTTAGTGTAATGATACTATTTGTAGCAAGAATCCTTCCAAGATCATAAAAGACACGTGTCGTATATTTTTATTTTAATTAATCGTCTGAGAGATATTTCGTTGCTTCAATTTGAACGGGACATCCTGTATATCATAGTTTACGTTACTTTAGAGTAGAAGATATGATGAATTTATAAATATAGACTTACGAAACTACCATATCTCAGGTGTCAAATTACGCCAGGAACTGTGAACTTATTACACGGAAGTGAATTTTGATTTCCCGTGTCTTCAACGTAACAAAGCGTGGATGTTGAAAGTCCGCGGTCGTAAAAGGAAAACGATGGACGTTGAATCGCAGTTGGGGAAGAATTTTTATGCCCAGATCGTTGTTGGGGGCGTGAAAAATCCTAGCCGAGGTAATCGACGAGCGAGAGGCATGAACGGAATCGTTACGGAAATAAAGAGAATTTTCGGTGGCCAGAATAAAGCTAGTTGAAGGATTTATAGGGGAGTCATAATCACGAGTTCGCGCCATATATCTCGAGCCTTATCGCGGCCAGTTTCGTAACTAGTTGCTCCGTGATTCAGCGATCGTACGTTATTGTGCCGTTAAGGACATTTTGTAGAAGAATTCCGCGAGATCCACGAAAGCTGATAAGGGGAACAGCCGAAACTTTCGTGCTCATGGCACCCTGCTCTATATACCATTGGGCGTAATGCAAATTACAGACCGGATTCTCGATAAAGTTTTTACTGTTGGGTGTAAAAGCGGACAGGGAAAATAGCGGTTAATTTTGATAGTGGCGTGACGATCTCGTGGAAGTAATTATCGATTCATCTGTCCGGTCATTGATCTCGAAATCTCTACAATGTCGAGATAGGAAAATATACTGATTAATTTGGAGTAGATTGGAGCAGTGGTGAATTCAAAACTCGGAATTCGACTTCAGATCTCAAATCTGAGAATTCAAAACTCAGAATTCAGAACTGAGAACTCAGAACTAAGAACTCAGAATTCAGAGCTAGGATCTCAGATCCAAGAATTCAGAGCTAAGATTTCAGGACTTAGAACTCAGAGCTAAGATCTCAGATTTCAGACTACATAACTCAGAGTTGAGAATTTAGATTTCAGATCTCAGAACTCGGAACTCAGAATTTCGAGCTAAAATCTCAGATTTCAGATCCCAGAACTCAAAACTCAGAACTCAGAATTCAGAGCTAAGATCTCAGATCTCAGAACTCAGAGTTAAGATCTCAGAACTCAGAACTGAGACCTAAGATCTCAGATTTCAGACTACACAGCTCAGAGTGGAGAACTCAGATATCAGATTTCATATTTCAGAACTCAGATCCCTAATTTAGTACTTAGGCCTCAGATCTCAGCACTCAGAACTCGAAACTCAGATCCCTAACTTAGAACTCAGGCCTCGTATCTCAGATCTCAGAGTTCAGAATTCAGAAATCAGAGCTCTAAACACAGGAGTTAGAGCTCAGAACTATAAACAGAGGAGTCACAGCTCAAAACTCCGCGCTTCAAACGATTTCGTGAACGTAGTTATCCAATGATAGTCGATGTTCGAAAGAATCCTGTCGGTGAATGATCTGGAAATTTCTCCTCGTGTCGATTACCGTCGACAGGCGTCGTTTCGCGCTTGATTTCGGTGCCACGAAGTTTACGACCCTCGCGGATGTAGTAAAAGGCTCGTTAAAGAGAAATAACGCGTTAATGATGGATTCACCGAAGCTACATCCATGCTGTGCACCGGAACGATGTCATTTAACGCGAGTTCTTCGTCTTCCACGCGAGAAGTCTCGTACGATGAAAGCTGAACACACACGGCGCAGCGTCCGGTTGGGCTGGCTGGTTTCTCGAGATAAATGGTAATAACGTTTGCCTGGTGAATTATATTAACGCTGGTTTGCCGGTAAAAGCTTCGCTGGCTGGCGAAAAAATGTTTGCACGATAAAATTCGCGGTAGGAACGAATTTCTCGCTAACGTAACAAATAGTCGTGTTAACGACACGTGGAATACACGGTTATTTCGAAATCCTGCACGATTTTAAACTTTAAGATCCCGAAAGAACGTTGTCAATATTCGACGTTTCTATTCCCAGCATTCGCTATTATTATCACACGCAAATGTGGACCAATGATATCCCCTTCGCGTTCATGGAAATTCAGTTCCTCGAAATAAAACAACTATTCGTCAGTATCATCATGGAAGAGCAATCTTTGCCAGTGCCTTTCCCCAATTTTCTCGATAAAGATACGGATATTTAACTATGTTTGTTAATCCTTGAAATACCCTTTGGGCAAATACTATTACTCATTAGGTAAAATACGATGACAGCTTGAAGCGTGGCCATGATATACGCCAAGTACCTGGAGTCTGAGAGTCAGTAATTCAGTTCGTTTTTCGGTTTATAACCCCTACTCTTGTACCTCAAATTCGGAAACTCCATTCTAATTGCAAATTCCATAGCCCCACCAAGGGTCTACATAAGGGCTAGTCCTCTTAGCTCGTTGAGTATCAAAACACGCGATAGCAAGATAGGGAGACAGTTTGTTAAAGGGGCTATAACTCAGAGGAATAGTAATCACTGGAAACGGTGGGAAAACTGTATAAATCTTTATTGAACAGGCGAACGGTTAGAACTGATCTGTTTAGGGCCACGCAGGTCACAGGACGTCTCCAGAAAATAGGAGACAAAAGACAAAACGAAGGGGAAGGGATCGCTTCCTCATCGCTAGGATCTACAGTTTACTGTACTGCTTAGTTTTTACTACAACACAGTCCATTTACTATTTCGAAGCTAAACACAATCTCCTCAAAGAACCGTTCGATATTAATCGTCAAGCAAGATCGACCTAGTGACGATACACAATGTTCTATAATCATAGGTTATCCAGGTCGCGCCATTATTACTCGATCAAGTCCGTGTCATCGATGATCAATGTCACTCGAAGATCACGCGTCAATCACAAAGTCGAGTCATTAACGCCATAACCTGGGAAGATGCCGATGCTGGGCAAGACGAGAAAGGAGGAAAGTAGATAAAAAGGCAGAGGAAATTAGCAGAAGGGTAAACATTTACCTTCCCCGCAGCTGATGCAGAGGATCATCCATGGGGATGGAACCCTTCTGGATCCTTTGACCAAAAGTACTTTCGCCAAACAATGTTATCCCGCGTTATTTCGAAATTACACACGGGTGTCTTTGCTGGCTCCGCAGGGGATGAAAACCGAATTAACCTTGTTTGCCTCTTCTCCCCCATGTAGATCCGCGACGCAATGTTTTCGCTCTTCTTTCTTGAATTATCTTGCCCCGTTACCGATATCCCCTTTGTACCCAACGGCAGCAGTCTCTTATCGAATTCCGCTATTGGAATCGGATGGCCTATCTCCATATTCTTGATCCTCGTCCCCGTTAAAGTATATTTCTCTGCAGGACCCAGGCTCTGGTAACGAGGTTACCGTAGTTCGACTTGGGAATTATACGCGAACGGGGACTTGGACCAAGACTGAAAGCTCTTAAGGTCGTTACCTCGCAGGAAGGTACTTGTTTACTCGCGAGTTATCCGTAATAATTAGGCACGGGAAAGGAAGGGAAGCCACTCGGATCGATTCGTTTCCCTTTGTGAGCCGAAAAAGTTGTTCGTAAAATGGCCGTCTCGACGAGGTCTCGCGGAGCCGTGGAAGGAGCGAAAATCCAGCGGTCGGGCCATAATCGTTGCGGAAATGGGCGTGGACGCGCTTAAAGCTTCAGATCGCCGTCGCGTATTTGCGGCATTTGAATGGCGTGCACACGGTAATTTCTCGCGGAAAATCCTCGCTAAAAGCTTAATTGACCGAGCGTCGGCGGAAAGCGGGAGACGCCTCGGGGAACGATGGGAAAATAGGGGGGAAAAAAAGAAAACAGCCGGGGACAATGCGTCGTTGTTAGTCTAATGACTTCTTCTGCGCGCGAATTCGCGTTCCCGAAGCGAGTGAAGTTGATGCGTTTCCCGTTGTCATCATCGCGATTTCGCTGTGCGGATTTTCAACGCAGCAGCCCCGTCTGCGCCGCCATTGTTCCACGCGAGACAATTTCACTCGACCTGGAAAGACACGCGTCTTCGCTTCCCTTTGACCGAATTCTTCTCTTCAACGCCTGTCTTCCGGCGGAACGTCCTTCAGCTCGTCTGGATTTCCCGCCAGACACTGCCTTCTACCACGAAACTTGTTCATTTGCCCGAAAACTTTCGCAACGCGAACTAGATTGACCGTGAACCGCGTTTTCTTTCTCCCTTCTGTCATATTTTGGCAACGTCCGACTGTTTTCTTTTCCAGCGATGAAACTTAGCCATATAAAGGATGACGTGCGCGATTGAAATATAACGATGTTCGTTTTCTCGTTACAGAAAGCCAGATTGGCACGAATCAGGATCGCGAAAGCGTCAAGCGGAGCGGCCTTCGTGAGCAAAAAGAAGGCGGCCGAGGCCCGATTGGCCGCGCAGGAGAGCGGCCTTCAGCTGGACGACAACTTCAAGGAGGAGGATATTTTCGAACTGCAGCATCATCATCTACTTCGTTGTTTAGAGAAGACCACGGTACGTAGTCAAAAATCACTTATTTTCACACCTAGGTACCTTCATTTGTTTTTGACAATTTGTTGAACACTTTGCTGATCCACGCAGTCATCTATGCGATCTAGAAGTTTATCTATGCAGATACATAAATTAATTGAACTGTCCTATGCAACAAGGGCTTCGCAGTACATTTTTAAACGCGTCTCCCAAATTTTGTTCCAATATTTCCAAAACTAGCTAGGTTTCGGTACGCTGTCAAACGTTTAGAGATTTTCCTTCAATCCACGCAGTCATTCATGTGATCTAGAAGCTTATCTATGCAGATACATAAATTAATTAAACTGTCCTATGCTTCAAGGGCTTCGTAATACTTCATTTCTAAACACGTCTCCCAAATTTGTTCCAATATTTCCAAAACTAGCTAGGTTTCGGTACGCTGTCAACTGTTTAGAGATTTCCTTTGAAACGCCATTTTGTTCCAGTTAAAGTCAAACTCTAAACGGTTGATTATACACTAGAAAAGCTCATCAATCTTCGTTAGCAAAGCCTGGACTCTGTAATTTTCTCGCGATCATCCGTGACACTTGTCACGATTGCCATGTCACACCTGTACAGTGTCATGACGCGACAGTCCAAGCTGGAAGGGTGAAGACGAATAATTCAGCGGCTATGCGAAGGCTTGCCGTCATTGATGCAGAAGCGTTCGCTTCATTAAGCCCAATACAAGGGCCTAGTTTCACTCCTTTGACACTTTGTTGAACACTTTGCTGTCCACGCAATCATCTAATCGATCTAGAATCCTTTGGTTGTAAATACGTAAATTAATTGATCTGTCCTATGCAACGAGGGCCTCGCAGTACATTTCTAAACGCGTCTCCAAAATTTGTTCCAATATTTCCAAAACTAGCTAGCTTTCGATACGCTGTCAAATGTTTAGAGATTTTCTTTGAAACGCCATTTTGTTCCAGTTAAAGTCAAACTCAAAACTGTTGATTATACATTAGAAAAGCTCATCAATCTCCGTTAGCAAAGCCTGGTCTCTAATTTTCTCGCGATCATCCGTGACACTTGTCACGATCGCCACGTCACACCTGTACAGTGTCATGACGCGAGAGTCCAAGCTAGAAGGATGAAGACGAATATTTCAGCGACTGTACGAAAGCTTGTCGTCATCGACGCAGAGGCGTTCGCTTCATTAAGTCTAGCACAGGGGCCTCGTTTCATTCCGTGGCATCAGTTGCGAAACGTGGAAATGTCGCGTTATCTGAGAGCCGGTTCATTCTCGGGTGCTAAGTAACGTCGCCTGCTTCGAATCCAAGAGTCTGCTTCGCGCGCGCTGCGGAGTAATTTGAATAAACCCCCTCTGTTCGCCGTCCAATTTTAGCACAGCACTTGTGCACGAGGGATACCGTGCCACCCACTGAGTGTGGCGCCCGGCTTACCCGCGCACACACGTGCAAACAGAGAGAATAACCCTCGTGTGTCGTTGCGACAGGTATACGCGCTGGGTTTGCGCGTGTCTGTGCGCCTGTCAGTGTACGCGCGTGTATAGCGAACGCGCTAGCGCATAAACCCTCGTTGCTGTCTTTGTGCAGCGGGATGTATAGGCTGTTTCATTAACTCTGATATAGCGGGATTTCATAGCGAATTTGTGATCGCGATTTAGCTCAGCTTTTCACTAGGTTATGAGAGGCTGATAAATAGGTCAGTTGGCGTTCTGCAAATCGGAGCCCGGGCCTCGGTGGCCACTCGTGTCCGAATTTCAGCGGAAATTGTGTTAATTGCAAGTTATCAGGGAGGATGCATAGTTTACAAGATCAAGAGGAACCGTGCATACCAACGATCCGTTCGATGCCTGCTCGTTTCCCCGGGAACAAATCGAACGCTCTTCGATTTACTTTAATTTCACGCCGATAGCTCGTGTACTTGGCCCGACGTTTTTAATTGCCAAACTTTATCGGAGTTTATCGGTTATTCTCGATTATACTCCCTAGGTAGCCTATCCTTTTCGCTTTCATTCTTTATCAGCTCTCAATCACACGGGTCCCCTTTTGACAGCGGCTCTGCTCGATAGTCTCAGACATCCGTTCACAGCCCCCTCTCTGGTGGGTGTACTTAACCCAGAAAGCAGTGCGATTCCGGCCGTCTTTGTCGACTCGCGAACAAAATCGTGCATACGCCCCGAGGCGTCGTCGTTCCACTTCCTGCTGTCTTCTGTCGTCTTCTGCAGCTTCTTCTTCGCGTCTACGTGCCATGATCGAGACTTCCTGCCGGCGTTTATCCTCCCGTTCCAACCGGTCTCGCGAACCATCCCCTCTTTTATATTTCCCCTTTGGGAAACCTCTCAATGGTCTTATCTTCAGCTACAGACCTCCGAAATTTTTTAAATCTCTGAATTACCATGTCCACCTTCTCCTCCGTCGTGTTTCCGGTTGTCTCGGCAAATTACCTTGCCTGCACGCGGCAGTTTGTTCGACTTTCGGCTGGAATGATTAACGCGTTTGCACGAGAACGGGTTGCGAGTCCACCGAGACCGGGACGTAACTTTCGACTGGATTTAAACCAAGTTGGAACATCGTTGTACGAAACGCGGGACGTGCTCGCACGGTTGGATAAATATTAAGTTTCCGGCGGAGCAAACTCGCGCGGGCCAAAGGGACAATGGGTGTCAGGATCGAGAATGGCATGGCCAAGTTCTGTCACGCGTTCTTTTCCGCCACGTCTGCCACGATCGCTTCTTCGCTTCAGAATTTTCCAATCAAAACTTTGCCAACCTCTCGCTTTAATTCTCTCAAGGAAACCCGACGCTCTCCTCGTCTAACGCGCGGTTACTCCCGAGTCCCAATTGCTCGACGCTCGTGTCCCGCGTAATTGGTAACCGATACATTTCCAAGGAACCCTGGGATCAACGCGGAAGAATGACCACGGACGACGTGGCACCGCGATAACGTCGCGAAATAACAAGAACGCGATGACCTTTGGCGAATCGACTCCCTCGGTCGATAGATTACGCCCTTAGATCCTGTCAATGGCTCCTGCCGGGGCACTCGGGACTCTCAGAGTATCAGGGTAGCCTCTCGAGCCAAGAAATGGTTTTCCTGTCTCGGTTTCGCGGCCACGGATGTTCCTCGTGAAAAGAAACGTCGTCGAAATTCGACGATGACGTGAAATGGACGTGTGAATGTAGTCCGGCATACATGGCTGCCCCTTTTCCCAGATATTTCTAACGTGTCAGAGGCAGCTCGTGAAGACCGGCTTCTTTGTCTCCTATCTGGATGACTCGTTCCTCGCGATAATAAGGTAACGGTTACCAGCGCAAGGGGAGTCTTTTCACTCGTAGCAACTCCTCTGTCACTGGATAACAAAAGGGAATTCTAGGAGGATTGAAATTGAACTCGTATTCCGGCCAGTCTGCCCTCTCGTCATCGCCATGGCAAAGGCGGTCGTTTCGAAAACAACGCGGATGATCACGAACGTCGTCGCTTGGCGAAATGAGATTCTGGATCTCAACTCTACGTCGCATAGCATAGCAAAGCGAGTTCTCAGCTGGAGCGGAGGGATGCACGCGCGATCTAGGCGCATTCCTCGAGATCATAACGACGCTGTCCCCGCACGGAATCGCAAGGAGAGAGCATGGAAACGATCTCCGTCGGAGATCTTTCCAGGCTGTTCGCGTGTGGTTGCGCAGCTCGCAAGCATCAGACGCGGCCAATCGGTGTCGTCGTGTCGGCGTATTGATTTCTTCCGGGTCGTGGTCGACCTCGATCGAATCTCTTCGGGAATCGAAGTCGTCGAGGCGAGACGTCATCCCGAGACCCGGGGACTAATTATAGCCGGGAAACGGCGTTAAAGAGATCCAACAATAGCGTAGCCCCATCGGATTTTCCGATTCGCGTGGCATGGCGGACGTGAGCGTCGGAAGAAAGTGTTCGTTCCTTTCTTCGAACGAAAGCAACATTCTCTCCTCGAAAACAGGATTCTCGTTGCTCCGAACATCGTTCGTGTTTCAAGATGGGAACTTCATTTTGACCCTCTGCTCGACGAGGACGCGAGCAATTCGGTAAAGTTAGCCCCGTGTCTTCTTCCTGTTCACCGAGTCAGCAGTTCGCGAGAGAAAATTGAGACGAGAGGAGTTGCACGAGCGGAAGTCTAGTCTCGAGCAAGGGACACGTTTGGCTTGGAGCACGTGGAAAAGCGTTCTCGTGTTTAAGATCGATCGATGGGGAGAAAAATTTTGTCTGGCTTGGTCCGTTGGGTCAGGGTCTCTGTCCCGACTCGCTTCTTTGCTAGTTTTATATTCTTTTTCTCGTTCGTGTACTACTCGGTAGTTTCCGGTGTGTTCATCCTCAGCGGGACGATATTAAATTCGCAAGTGGTTTAGCCGTGTCACCGCTTTTCGGTGTCGCAATGCATACGCAACGCCGAATGCTCAGCAGCCGCCGCCATCGCCGCCATATTTGTACCTCTCCATGGTCCGCGACTTCGTCTTTCCGCCGCTTCGAAGTAATTCGACAGAGTCTGTTTAACTCTTTCCGATTTTCGCGTTCAAAACCGAGGAAACCTTTATCACAGAGGGAACTGGCAAATAATGGCTAGCCAAAAAATACACATAGGTTCGAAACTTCTCGGTGGAACCTCGCTCCTTGATATACTTGGCAACGGACCAAAGTCTCGAACTTGGATTACGAGATCTCCTTTCGATTATTCAGAAACAAAATCAGTCTGAGAAATTGGCCGGCTATTTCCACCACTCGTACTTCCCCAACTGCCAATAGCGGGGTCGATTAAATTCCGCTCGAAGCGGATCGCCGGCTCGTCTGAGGTGTCTACCTTGAATCCACCGCGTGGGAGATTGATAAAAATCGACGCGGTAAATCGCGTTTTCTCGCTGGTCGATTATCAGGACTCGGTCTGACGCGAAGGCAAGAGGTAATCCGACGAAATAGGATGGAACGTACGGATAGGTAGGAACATCCATAAAATGGCGACAAGTGTACGGCGTTGCGGGGTCCGGTCGAGCG